GTTTTAAAAGCCTTTACAAGCTATCATTTTAGATTTACAGAGGAGGTCTAGTGTTAGAATTACTGCCCTTGATCTGGTGTTCGTGGCGATACCGCACATGCATGGTGCAACCATTGTTTCTTTTTTATTATTTTTACACTGTCCCTTTCATTTTTTTTCATCACTTTTAATGCTATCACAGGGAATGCAAATATCCCCTATAACTTCAAGGGGCATTGTCATATATTCTTTTTTGAGAATCCTCTCTCTGGGTTCTATAAGACTCTAGATATCTCCTCTGCCCTTACATTATCTAATCAAACCAAGATCGGTGTGATCAGATGCTTTCCCAATTTACAAATGGCGCTGTTTACAGTGAGGAACAGAAGTATTTGAACACCCTGCGATTTTGCAAGTTCTCCCACTTAGAAATCATGGAGGGGTCTGAAATTCACGTTGTAGGTGCATTCCCACTCTGAGAGACAGAATAAAAAAAAAAATCAGGAAATCACATTGTATGATTTTTTAAAGAATTTATTTGTCTTGCACTGCTGAAAATAAGTATTTGAACACCTGAGAAAATCAGAGTTAATATTTGGTACAGAAGCCTTTGTTTGCAATTACAGAGGTCAAACGTTTCCTGTAGTTCTTGACCAGGTTTGCACACACTGCAACAGGGATTTTGGCCCACTCCTCTACACGGATCTCCTCTAGATCTGTCAGGTTTCGGGGCTGTCACTGAGCAACACAAAGTTTCAGCTCCCTCCAAAGATGTTCTATTGGATTTAGGTCTGGAGACTGTCTGGGCCACTTCAGAACCTTGATATGCTTCATACGGAGCCACTCCTTGGTTATCCTGGCTGTGTGCTTCGGGTCGTTGTCATGTTGGAAGACCCAGCCACGACCCATCTTCAATGCTCTGACTGAGGGAAGGAGGTTGTTGCTCAAAATCTCACAATAAATTTCCCCATTCATCCTCTCCTTAATATAGTGCAGTCGTCCTGTCCCCTTTGCAGAAAAGCACCCCCAAAGCATGATGTTACCAGGTGCCCTATGCTTCACAGTAGGGATGGTGTTATTGGGATGCAACTCATCCTTTTTCCTCCAAACACGACGAGTGAAGTTTAGACCAAAAAGTTCTACTTTGGTCTCATCTGACCACATGACTTTCTCCCATGTCTCCTCTGGATCATCCAGATGGTCATTGGCAAACTTCAGACGGGCCTAGACATGTGATGACTTGAGCAGGGGAACCTTCCGTGCAATGCGTGCAATGCTTGATTTGAAACCATGATCGGCGTAGTTTTCTACCGACAGTGACCTTTGAAACTGTGGTCCCTGCTCTTCATGTCATTGACCAGTTCCTCCCTTGTAGTTCTGGGCTGATTCCTCACCTTTCTTATCATCAGTGATACCCCATGAGGTGAGATCTTGCATGGAGCCCCAGTCCGAGGGAGACTGACAGTCGTCTTTAGCCTCTTCCATTTTCTAACAATTGCTCCAACAGTTTATCTATTTTCACCAAGCTGCTTGGCAATTGCCCCGAAGCCCTTTCCAGCCTTGTGGAGGTCCACAATTTTGTCTCTGGTGTCTTTTGACAGCTCTTTGGTCCTGCCCATGGTAGTAGTTGGCGTCTGACTGACTGTGGGGTGGACAGGTGTCTTTAACCATTTGACGCCCGGCCTATGGCCAAATGGTGTAAGCAAAAATGCATTACCTTTCCGGGAGGCTGCCATATGGCGTCCTCCCGCACATGCGCAGTTCGCGCAGCGGCGCGATCTGAACCGGCCGTGTACCTCGGACACGGCCGATGACAGATCTGAGTACCGACCCCCATTGCTGGTACCATGTGACCTGCTGTGACCAATCACAGCAGGTCACATGACAGTTGTATACAATGGATGGCTTCATTCATGCCATCCATTGTATACTAGTCTCTAGCTGTGAATGGTCACAGCTAATCACATGCACATGTCATGTGATTAGCTGTGGCCAAATCACAGCTAAGCACAAAAAAAAAAACCCTGAATGAATCGATGTCATTCAGGTAAATGCTTGCTTATAGCAAAGTAATTCTTTGCTATAAGCAAATTGTGTAAAAAAAAAAGAAAAAAAAACAAAAAAAACTAAATGCTGATCACTTCCCCAAAGTAGTACAATGTTACTATGGTAACATTGTACTACTTTGGACATAGTGAAATATAAAAAAAAAAAATCTTAAAAAAAAGAAAAAAAAAATTTAATAAAAAAAAAAAAAAAAACTGTCAGTCAGTGTCCCTGATCACCACCATGCCAGTTATATGATGATGCTGTACTGCACTGGTGACAGTATGTAAAAAAAAAATAGTGAAAATAATTTTTTTTATTTTTTCATTTTCCGAAAAATTATGACAAAAAAAATACAACTTAAAAAAACTCGCCATGTCTCTTATGAAGTACGTTGGACTGTCTACTTTGCAAAAAGTGGTCATTTGGGGGATATCTGTATTATTTTGACATTCTTGGACCTCAAGAAATTAGATTGGCTGTCAGTACTTCAGGATTGATGAATATTCAGATCTATACCATAGTTTGTGAACTCTATAACTTTCCTACAAACTAAAAAATACATCCTAATTTGGGTTATTTTCACCAAAGACATGTAGCAGAATACATCTCGGCCTAAATTTATGAAGAACAATTATTTATTTGCAAACTTTTATAACAGAAACAAAGAAAAACATGTTTTTTACAAAATTTTCGGTCTTTTTTGTTAATTTAGCAAAAAATAAAAACCCCAGCGATGATTAAATACCACCAAAAGAAAGCTCTAGTTGTGTGAAGAAAATGATAACATTTTAGTTTGGGTACAATGTTGTATGACCGCGCAATTGTCATTCAAAGTGTGAGAGCGCTGAAACCTGAAAAATGGCCTGGGCAGGAAGGTGTAAAATTGCACGGTATTGAAATGGTTAAAGAGCTCAGACAGGTGCTACTAATTAGATTAATGAGTGGAGTAGAGGTGGACTTTTTAAAGGCACAGTAACAGGTCCTTGAGAGCCAGAATTCTTGCTGTTTCTTAGGTGTTCAAATACTTATGTTCAGCAGTGCAAAACAAATAAATTCTTTAAAAATCATACAATGTGATTTCCTAAATTTTTTTTTTAAATTCTGTCTCTCAGAGTGGGAATGCACCTACAATGTGAATTTCAGACCCCTCCATGATTTCTAAGTGGGAGAACTTGCAAAATTGCAGGGTGTTCAAATACGTCTGTTCCTCACTGTATATCCTGTGAAACTGAAGTGATGAAATGCTTGTAGCTTCCGACTTCTTAGGCTATAGAGATGATTGGCGCCATTCTGGTCTCCAATCAGCTCTATGGTCAGCTAGCAGAAACACTGGCTGCATTCTTAGGTTGCTCCGATGGCACGGGACTGCCCGAGAAAGCTGTGGAAGGCAGTGGGGAAGGGGGCATTGTCTCCCGCTGCTTGTAAAAGCAATTCTGCAGCTAATTAGCCACTAGGATTGCTTTTACATGAAAACTGATCGCCGGCTGAAAAAAACAATCCCAGGATGATGCCTGCAGCTGTAGGCATCATCCTGGTATAACCATTCAAAGTCCAGTGATGTACCAGTACCTCGGTTTACGAATTTAATTCGTTCTGCAGGACATTTCATATAGCGAGAAATTCGTAAACCGAAAAACACTGTTTCCTATAGGAATGCATTGAAAACCAATTAATTAATTCTGAAGGTCAGAAAAACAGTAAACGCTACTAAAATATTTGATTAACTCATGGTGTATTTTAGTAGTGACAACCATGTGTCCCCCTGACAGATGAATGTAAAAGAATTGCTGGTAATTAAAAAAAAAAAAAAATTAATTGCAGGCAATTCACTCAGCTGTCAGGTGCCAGTTTTTTAAATGTAATCACCATTTTTTTTTTTTTTTTTTTTTCCTTCACTACACAGTAGTTCAGAAATTCAGCAGTCACTTTCCCCCTCCAGCTAAAAGAGAGAAAGTTTATTTTAGTTTATTTCCCCAGGTTAAAAGATACAATGTTTCCTTTCGGTTCTTAAAAGATACAATGTGTCCTTTCAGTGTCTTAAAATATACAAAGTATTCTCTAGCTCTGGGAAACTGATAGCTAATGTTGTGAGCTACAGTGAAGAAAAAAAAAAGATGGCAATTGCATTTAAAAATCAGCACTGACATACACTTAGTATTGTGAAAAAAATTAAAAAAATTTGTAAACCGAGGCATTATTTTCCATGGATTTTCATTCGTAAACTGAAAATTATGTTAACAGAGGCATTCATAGACCGAGGTATTACTGTATATGCTATGTTCTTTTTTTTTTTGTATGCAGCAGACTGAATGAAAAAAAGAGAAGAAATCTCTGCCAGAAAAGGCGTGTGGTATGCCCACCATTGGAATATACTGCCCTGCATCCACCCACTTATAATGGTTGGCACACATTAGGTCACACGGTGCCACATGCACCAGTTCCAAGATTGTACAAATGTCTAAATAGTGGCAATCTTGAATAAAAATTGTCCACGTATAAGTGGTACCCCATATGGCAAAGGATGACACCAAGTCCCAAACTATCTTGCCACTATTCTCCATGTAGTCTGGGCATCCAGGGGGCTCCACGTGACTTTTCCTTCCTAAATCTGAAATTTATAAGTATATCCTGTTGTTCTCTCACAGGTCTTCTACATCTTGACCCCATATCTGGCACATTTGCTGGCGAGAAATTGTTTGAATGCAAGGCAGCCAGAAAAATTAATGAGGGACTCATCAACACAGATTTTTTGCTGGTGAGTATAGACATCTGCAAATTTTTGGTTAAGGTGATTTGCGAGGGGCTGAATTTTGTGGAGCCGGTCAAACTCAGGGTCTCCCCGAGGACGACAGAGTGTATTGTCGTTGAAATGCATAAAATACATTATACTCTCATATCTATGCCTGGCCAGGGCAGCAGAGAACACGAGCATATGATGAATCGGGTCTGTGGACCAATACAACTGCAATTCATTTTTTTAGTAATGCCCATGTTGAGGGTTAGGTCAAAAAAAAAATTCGGAAACCGTAATGGGTTTCCATGTGAATGGTCTGGAAGGCTTGAATTTGGGTTGGAGGCGATAAATTGTTGCGCATATAAATTGCTTTGATCCACAATCAACGCATACAGATCTTCTATGAAAAACAGCTCCAAAAAAATCAAGGGGAGTAGTTAAATTTTCCACCTGAATTCCGGGTTGGGCAGTGAATGGGGGAAGTATGGTTGCTGCAGAATTTGTGGGCTGCCAATCTGGATTTGCAAGCACATCCGGAAGGATACTAGGGGCTCTACGGGCCTGTTTGCAAATTCTTGGTGGTCACGAGGCATTACTTGTGCTCGCCACCGCACCAGCTTGTACTACACTTATGGGACTCACCACGTCACCAAGTCATACTGCAGTGCTGGTATTATTATTATAATACAGGATTTATATAGCGCCAACAGTTTGCTCAGCGCTTTACAATATAACGGGAGACAATACAGCAACAATACAGTTCAATACAAGAGGGTTAGGAGGGCCTGTTCCTTGGAGCTTACAATCTAAGAGGTATGTGAAAGACGAGGATGTACTAGACTGCTGGTGCCTGCCAGTTCACCAAAAGGTAGCGCGGCACTAGTACTGGCACTTTGCTACATATGAGAGTCATCAAAATTTACCGGCAAGTGCTAACAGAGATCAGGCCTGATTCTGCCAACACTGCGGTTTTGTGTGCAATGTATCAAGTGACAGTGACCTACTTACACTGCACTTGTTGGAGGAGAAGGGGGGGGTAAGTGTAGTGGCTAAACGCAGGTGCTGGCAGGTGCGGGGCTGATCCCACGAACGCTGCATTTTGTGGGACGCTGTACTAATGTGAACACTGGTATAGTACTGATCTGATCAAAGATATTAATCTGTTCAGACACTATACTAGCAATGGAGGTTTATTGTGTATGAGCGTCTTCCTGGCAATCAAGGGGTTAAAATACACAGGGAGGGGCGTGTAAACCACGGGAGCACAAATCACGTATATATATATATATATATATATATATATATATGTGTGTGTGATTTTGCGCACCTGAGCAGCCCTGTAGCAGTGTTTCTGCTATAGGGCATTCAGGAAGCGGTTACATAAGCGGTTTGTGTTACGGCGCTCCATTACTTTAACTGACAATTGTGCGGTCATGCAACGCTGCATCAAAATGAAATATATATCTTTTTTCCCCACAAATTGAGCTTTCTTTCGGTGGTATTTAATTGCCTGTGTGTTTTTTATTTTTTGCGCTATAAAAAAACCAACAAAATTTTGAGAAAAAAATTATTTTGGACTTTTTTCTATAAAACATGTCCGGTAAAAAAATTTAAAAATCACATTTTGTCATAAATTTCATCCATAATGTATTCTGCGACATGTCTTTGCTAAAAAAAAATCCCAATACGTGTAAATTATTTGGAAAAGCAGAGTTTAGTGAGTGCTTGAACAAATACACAGCAGCTGTACACCAAAAAAGGCACCATATACAACCTTCTGAAACGTAAATATTCAAAAAAGGGGGGGAGGTGCAGCGCTTTACAAAACAACAGACACTAATAAAATTAAAAGGTCAAACATATAATAAATAGTGACTGTGTGCAAATAAAATCAAGCCACTAAATGGTGGCTATAAAGTGAAAGAGATGCAAAATGAATAAATAAAAGAGTCCAATGAAGGGGTGCTTTAAGATCCAGGATGATCCTCAGACGTCCAATGATTGGAACAGCCAGGTGATAGATAATATAAGGATTGCGCACTCACCAGATACGCAATCTTTATGCGCATTTGTATAACAAATCACTGGACCTCTGGTGTCATCAAATTGGTCTGGTCAGATCTGGTCATATGGCTCTTGCTGCCTGGCACTATAGATAGATAGATCGGATAGATGCGGCTGCTCTGTAGATCTGGCTGGTTTTCACCAGAGCTCTTTTATTTCCTTTTCGGCTCCTGGTGGTGCTTCATACATGAAATTCAACCCACTCTTTACCTTTTCATCACCCAAAAGTAACCGATTGTTATAAGACTCTTTTTGTTCTTTTAGGTACTGCTGCATTAGATCATCTTGCTTTTTCTTATCATAAGATATTTTCTGTTCTGCCATCCATACCTTCTTGATGTTGGATTTAGATGCAGGATGGAAATCCTTCTTACACATGAAGTTGCAAATTATTTGGTTTACGTGAAAGTTATAGTGTTTACAAATGGCGGTGTATATACTGGAATTTTAATTTTTTTATACTAATAATGGCGGCGATCAGTGACTTTTGGTGGGACTGTGGCGAACATTCTGACACTGGGGGGGAACTGACTTGGGGTCACTGACATCCCCAGTGACACCAATACAGTGATCAGTGCAAAAAAAAAAACCCCATTGACACTGTACTAATGGCACTGGGGAGGAAAGGGGTTAACTTTTTTAGGCAATCAAAGGGTTAACTGTGTGAGGGGAGTGTTTTACTAGTGGATGGGGGGTGTGTTCTTTACGCTGTCCCAGAAAGCTAAGCTCTTCTCTCAGGAACAGTGTGCTGGAAACTGACAGGGAGCAGAGCTACATTGAAAACAATGCAGCTGTGCTCTGTGTCACTGTTTGCTGGCAATCGCCGGGATAATGACCGACCAGGACTTTGTGATTGACACCAGTGGCCGCGATCTGTGGCGCGGGTAGGGCGGTGACACGCCTCGCCTGCGCCTCTACCCGATATGCGAAATCACGTATATATACATGATTTTGCGCAGCGGTGCTGCCCTGCCTCAGTATATGCACTGTGGCTGGTCAGCAACCGGTTAAAGTCCAACTGAGTTGAATTACAAAATGTCTCACTAATGCACATTGTCCTAGCCCAGTGGTCGGCAAGCCGTGGCTCGCGAGCCACATGCGGCTCTTTACACACTTTAATGCGTCTTTTCTGTGTGCCGGGCGGCCGCCCCAAAAGTCAGGACTCTGCAGCTAGCCCAGCAATGGGCAAACTACGAGCGTGATCCAAAAAAAAACAGCCAGGGCAGCGTGCTCAAATGCAATGATTGGCCAGTCTCGCTGCCACTCACATCCTGATAGCCAGTGATTGGCTGTCAGGATGTGTGTAGGCGGGGCAGCGTGACGAACGTGAGAGGAGCTAGGCTCCTCTCACAGTCCGCCCTGAAGACCGGAACGGTGCGGGAACACGGCGAGAAGAACGCGCGGAGCAAAGGTAAGTAAATTGACACAGGGGGGACTTGGCTTACTACTTGCTACTTACTTACTACTACTATATGAGGGATGAATTCATATGGGGGATGAATTACTATATGGGGGATTAATTACTATATGGGGGATGAATTACTATGGGGGATGAATTACTATATGGGGGATGAATTACTATATGGGGGATGTATTACTATATGGGGGATGAATTACTATATGGGGGATGTATTACTATATGGGGGATGAATTACTGTATGGGGGGGATATGGGGGATGAATTACTATATGGGGGATGAATTACTATGGGGGATGAATTACTATGGGGGATGAATTACTATGGAGGATGAATTACTATGGGGGATGAATTACTATAAAAACTTATTGAAACTAAAAACAGTGTACCATCCTATGTAGTTTCAGTTTTAAAAATGTGGCTCTCAAAATAAATTTCAATCGTGGTTTTGGCGAGATTTGGCTCAGTTGAAAAAAAAACGTTGCCCACCACTGTCCTAGCCCATTCTGCCATGTGCCAGCTCACACTTTATAATCAGCTACAGCAAACAGTTTTTTTTTCCTTTTGGGGATAAAGCTTTTACATAAATAAAAGTTGATCATTTTAATCACCCCTGCCAGTGGATTGTCTCTCCAAATGGACTGTCTCATCCATGTAAACTGATATATGCTGCTGGAGAGCCTGGACTTCTGAAAAACAACAGATTTACTGTCTGAATGAAAGATGAAAATAGGAGAAAGAAAGCTAAAAAAGGAAACCGCCAACACATCTAAGAATTTTTAAGGTGAAATATAATAAATGTTTTCTGTTGGATTTAATGCTGTTTTAAGGGTCGGTTCAAACTATTTTGCTCTATCTGCACTAAATCTATGTTTATAGCACACTAAAAGCAAATTAAATTAGTTAACATTAAAGTCTATGAAGCTTTTCACATCAGTACTTTGTGTTACAGGGCAGTGTGGTGTTTTGCTGGTGCCAATAAAATCCTAATTGTCACATATTTTGTGTGCTTTTGAAAAGTGAGTTAGATTACAGTTGATGGCAGCGCATAGTAAAGGAGATAAAACTGTAACATGCATCTTATCTTCCGTGTTTTTTAGGCCACATATGCATATATTCTATAGGCCATCAGGAAAGATATTGTACGTATATATGTTGTGCATAGATTAGAGGAGCCCTGCCAAGAGGAGTACGCATATAGACAGCGTAGCAGCCAAACTGTGGTTAGACAATCTATGATTGAGATAGAGATATTTACTAGACATGTGCTTGCAGAAATTTTAGTTTTGTTTCGGATGCATCCGTTCATTGAAAAATTTCCTTTTGTCACATTCCTTATGTTTTTCCAGTTCATTTTCGTGATTCATTTTGTATCTTCAGCATTTATTGCATACAGTTGTGTTCAAAATAATAGCAGTGTGTTTAAAAAAGTGAATAAAGCTCAAAATCCTTCTAATAGCTTTTATTTCCATACACACAAATGCATTGGGAACACTACACATTCTATTCCAACTCAAAATATGAAGAAAAATATATCAAATTTGTGTTGTTCCTCTAAAAAATTTGAAGAAAAGTGAATATTAGACTGTTCAAAAAATAGCAGTTTGTATTCTTCTTTACAAACTCAAACATTCGCTATATAAACTGAAAGATGTTTGAAGATTTTGCTTTCCTTTGAATCACTTAATTAATATTTAGTTGTATAACCGCTGTTTCTGAGAACTGCTGTACATCTGTGTTGCATGGAGTCAACCAACTTCTGGCACCTGTGAACAGGTATTCCAGCCCAGGATAATTGGACTACATTCCACAGTTCTTCTCTATTTCTTGGTTTTGCCTCAGAAACTGCATTTGTGATGTCACCCCACAAGTTTTCTATTGGATTAAGATCCGGGGATTGGGCTGGCCACTCCATAACGCCAGTCTTGTTGGTCTGGAACCAAGATGTTGCACATTTACTGGTGTGTTTGGGGTCGTTGTCTTGTTGGAACACCCATTTCAAGGGCATTTCTTCTTCAGCATAAGGCAGCATGACGTCTTCAAGTATTCTGATGTATTCAAACTGATCCATGATTCCTGGTATGTGATAAATAGGCCCAACACCATAGTATGAGAAACATCCCCATATCATAATGCTTGCGCCACCATGCTTCACTGTCTTCACAGTGTACTGTGGCTTGAATTCAGTGTTTGGGGGTCGTCTGACAAACTGTCTCCGGCCACTAGACCCAAAAAGAACAATCTTACTTTCATCAGTCCACAAAATGCATTTCTCTTTAGGCCAGTCAATGTGTTCTTTGGCAAATTGTAACCTCTTCAGCACATGTCTTTTTTTCAACAGTGAGACTTTGCGGGGG